GCAATCGTTAAGAAAACATTGCTCAGAAAATGGATTGAATAACACCTTTTCCATCAACAACTGTTTGAGAATTATAACAATCTTATGCTAAATGATAACAATCTATTGTAAAAGGAAAAAGTCAACCTTCAAACAAGTAAACAGAAGAAATCTTACAAGTCTCGAACCAAATATGGTATTGTCAGCTCCGTGAGAACGACAGTTTCACATCATCACCGGCTCACCTATGACCCAACACCTGCAAAATCAACCTTCATCTCCAACAACACTCGATTACCTGATGGGTTTTCCCAGGCCTAGACTGGATAAAAAGGAGGCGGGAACTCGAGTTGGGGTGGACTTCATCGAACGCCATACACCAGTGGACATCTTGAGCCACCCTGTTCCCAGCAGATATCCCCAAGATGGACTCCATGACAGAAGGAGAGAACCAAGTCTTTGGTCCTGCCATATTTGTTCTCCCAGGGATCCTTTGCATGATTGATATGCTACGAGCAAACATTGTCCCAAGAGTCAACTGATAGTCTCTCACAGGAAGAGATAGAGGTATGATATTTACCTAACTCTCTGGTTGTAAACTCTCTCTCTCTCCACATAGCTAGACAGGCCTAGTATCCCTAGAGCTCTGTATTTACGCTTAGTAGTTAATCAAACCACTAGCACCTAAATGAGACTAGGGCCCAGAATGCTGCTACCTTAAAAGGCCAAGGGTCTGCTGAGTTAGCAGGTACAAAGAGGGGAATGTATGTGGGTTTACGGTAAATAGTCGTGATTATATTTATATTTGCCTCAAGGGCTTACTCTCATTACTTCAGAGAGACTTCAGACATATACAAAGAACTGAAACACATCAAGCTTATAGCATCTGCACATGAGTACGACTAGTCCTTAATCGACAGGCTCGGTGCCATCCAGCAGTCTAGGATAGCTATCACAAACATGAGGGTTCTTAATGAGGAGCACAATTGGGTTGTTATCTCTTACGAACCGTCCCTCCAACAAATTTATAATAGAATCGCTAAGGATTTAAACTTGTGATTAACTTATAGGAGAAAATGGAACATTTTCCAGCTCTTATCTAATGCATGACGAATGTTTTAATAGACATATAACATACACTGGATCCACGTACAGATCACTTGAAGCTAGAATACAGGACCACAAATATGATGTGTCCAAGGGGAAATATAATACTGCACTATCCCAGTATGTTACCAAACCCAGGGTTTTTCCTTGTTGGGATGAAGCTACTCTTTTACACAGAGCTTTTCACAGACTCGACTTACGTTCATTGGAGGTTCTTGAAATTTATATGGTGGGCATGAAGGGAGATTGCATTAACTCTGACTATATTCCAGGTCCACAGTCATGGAAATATTATTTACAATGCCACAAGCATAACAATAATTTTTGACATCTTCTATACATCAAAACATTGGGCTAACTTTTACAACGCCATATATTGTATTATTAATAATTTATTTATAGCTTTATTTAAAAAATAATTTATTTATATGTTGTAATATGTAACGATCTTTGTTTTGAACATCGTTTGAACATTTAAGAAAATTGGAACACAGCTATGTTTGAAAGCTAAGGCTNTTTTTTTTTTTTTTTTTTTTTTTTTTTACAATTAGCTCTGGTAAAATACAGTGGAAACTGGTGGAGTCTCTATATATGCTCTACACACACTTTTCATATCAGAAGCAGTTATTCTACCTGATCTATGCACAAACCACAGCTTGCTTCTACTCTGTGCTAGTATGTTTTCTTTAATAAAATCAATTTTTTCCTCTGTCAGATTCAAAGTTTCAAATACTGTCCCGCAGTGATTTAACAGCTGATCCCAGGGTAAGGCAGCTTTTTTGGCATCAAATAGAGTTGTAAGTGGGTTCTTATAGAAAGATAAATTGACACGGTTTGTAAAAGAATTAGAGTAACCTGGCAACACTGACAAAATTGCAGCAGTTGGATTATGAACAGAAATTTTTTTCAAAAACTGTTCAAATTCTCTCTTACTAGGTTTGTTTATACAAGTATTTCAAGTTTTATTCACTTCACAAATAAGGTTTTTGTATATTTTTTCTTCAAGCCACTGCCGTTTACTTGCAGTTGCAGCTGAAGTTTATTTTTCGTAGTGGTTTGTAATCACAATCTTTTACACGTGGCACAATCCAATTATTTGGTCGGTCAGTACATGTCTGGGAGCTCCTTATTTTAATTCCTTCCGCAATGGTAAAAAGAATAGCACCAACACGAGAGCGGGAGGAAGATTGTCCAGCTACGCAATTGCAATGCCCAGTTATCGCCTCTCCAATTTTCATAGCTAAAACCCACACTACTAAAGCTGGCTGCCGTAGATTTTGTGAGTCATTAACCTGTGTACAAAAACAATGTAAGAAACTGTGATATTTACTTCTAATAATATATTTAAACAATAATTGGTTATTAAATCACTTTTCTAGCCCACAACATAAATTAAGATTAAACTAATTAGCCTAATAAACCCTTTAATTTATTATAGCCACATTTATCATATCAGGGACTGACTGGAGCAAAATACACTAAATTTTTACAAAAAAAAAATGGCCTTTAATTAACCACAATCAAATTTTTAGTAGAATTCATTTCAAGCACAGTGGCTTTCCGTAGTGAAGGCGGCAGGGACGGCCCTCCCCGGGCGGCACTTTTTAGGGGGCGGAAAAATTACCTTTTAGGGAGCGGCAAAATTTCACAATAAATAATACAGGTAACCCCCGTATAACACGGTAGTTACGTTCCAAAAAATTGCCGTGTTATGCGAATCCGTGTTATACGAAACAAAGAACTAATACGAAAAGGAGGGTTAGGTTCCAAAAATTAAAAAACATGCTAGTATATTTTCATAATTAAGATAAATATCTTCATTAAAGTTTTTTNATAAACGAACGAGCGAGGTAACGTCAGATCAGCAACCAATATGGCGGACGATTGTTTTGGTGGGCGGAGCGATGACGTTATATCACGTGACTGCACCCCCTCTATTGTAGGCCCGGCCAAACCCACAATAGGTATGGTTCTTTTTGTGCCTACAGGGCAGAAATAATAATAACATATACTCGAAGATACAACATTCACAAATGACACACGCAGAAAGTGTCACATCATGCCAGAAACTATACAACACAACCACTTCTGGTTGCAAGTTCTTGGCACAGACAGATTATTTACATAGACATAATCAAGTAGCAAATATAATACGCCAAGAGCTTGCAAACAAACACAAATTATTAGACATCCACGAACCATACTACAAATACGTCGCACAGACAGTATTGTAACACGACACGCACAAAATGTACTACGACAGAGCTGTAATTACAGATAAAACAATTTACCACAACAGACCAGACATTACACTCATTGACAAACATAATAAAATTACATACAGTATAGACATATTCATTCCAAACACTCACAATATACAAAACACATGCACTGAAAAAAATCAGCAAATACACGGAACTCGTCCAGGAAATAACGCATCTATGGAGGAGGGATAGGGTGCTTATTGTACAGTACTTGTCGTTCTCTCCTGTACAGGCGTCATAAGACACACACTACACAAAAGCCTGGAAACATTATATAATTGAATAGAAACACATACATCATACTATAGAAGGACACTATATTGAATGCATGTCATATTGTTAGGAAATTCCTGAATACAGACACACACACAGACATTGACACACTAATTTAATTTTTGTCTTGTTTTGGTTACTATGCCTTGACTCTGGTCCGAGTCAACAAAGTAAAACTCACAAAACCAAACATAATAATAATAAAACACTTCGCTGTCCGGCTTCCGAGTTGGTGCTAAATTGACACGATGCTGACTTTTCGTTATTTTATAACCATTCACTAACAAACAATATTAAGTGAGTAACAAATACGTACAAATTTCCAACAAATAATTAAAAAATACTAAAAAACCCCAATGTGGGTTCTAATTTGACACTGATTAATTAATAAGATAGAATCAATTGTATATCACAATGATTATTTATACTTTTGCTTAAAATGACTCCAGACGTCTCTAGAGAAGTTCGGTGGTGGGTTGGCGCCTGGCCCGAACGGGCTAGCCAGGTGTAATTTTCTGGGTTTCTCCACGTCCGTAACGCCCGAATAGGGGCCAGACACTTTTAAAAGACCCCCAGGAAGGCATTATTCCCTGCGTAACGACCATCATAAAACGTATACAACTGTACTTTACCACGGGGCGATATAGCCTAGAAGCTCATGCCCAACTAGCCGATAGAAGACAACACATTCGTGTATTTAAAAATCGTATATCGCACTCTTGTACAGTTTAAATTATTGTTCAGCATCTATTCAAATAATATCCTAGTCGGCCGCTGCACGATGGGCCTGGCCAAACCCCCAATAGACCCGAAAAACGCCATTTAATGTGTAGAGCGGAAAGAGTAAATAAGAAAAATAAATAAATAATTCTGTAAATATTCTTAAATTCTTATTTTTAACTATTTATATACTCAAAAATAAAACACAGTGAAAGTAACATAAAAATAACTCATAATATTGTTATAAGCTATATTACACGATACGATACCGAATAGAATACTTCAAACATATTTCAAAAATTTTTAAACGTATACTCATATATACATTTTTTGATTTTAGATACAGTAATACTCTAAGCGACTACGCAATAACCTCCGTATTAACCCCGATACAAGAGAAGAAGATACACCTGAATGGGGGTCAGTTTCCCATAAAAAGTCCTCCCGGTTGGCATTCTTTCCCCCGCGCGCGTAATGGCCAATCTATAAGGCCGGCTCTTCGGTCGCCTAGCGATGAAAAACAGGCTATTCGAAGTATAGTGCCTGCTTGTGCCGTGCACTCCACATTAACACCCCATCAACAGAAACAAAAGAAAGAAAGAAAGATATAGTAATACGATTATAACTTTTATTTTGGCACCAGGGTTCGCGTATATCGGCTTTGTTTACAAATGGCGTCTTAGCGCACGTCATCTTAATTATTGATAAATTAAAATCGAATGTTACAATTAATTAAATAACATTAGGCTAAACTAGTTGGTAAACGAAAGTGTTAGAATCGAGGATGCTTACTTTAACATTATTTCTGTTGTGTTTAACCACAAAAAGGTTATCGGCATCTTTCAATACCGATGAATTGAATTCGATCAATTACGAAGTGGATATCTTAAACGTCCCTGTCAAAATTGGTGAAGTAAGTCCATCTTGTCATTTATATTTACTTACACAGACACTTCATATTCGGTTTTTGTAGGTTAATTCTTATTTCAAATAAATTGCATTATAAATTTGGCTGTATCTGAATTATCGGAGCTCTCGATCGCCGCCCCGTTAGCGGGTATGACGATGTAAAAACGTGGCAAAACTGAAACTCATATTTAATTAATTAAGTTAGATTGAATATTGAAATATAAACTCCGTATAATGTGCTATATTGCGGTAATCATTAATATTAATTCTGATATAAAATATACCGTTTTTATTCTGTGCACGTAACCTTTGTACTATAAGTCGTATAAAATGTTGGATACGATTACACCTCCGAATGAGATGGTTTGGATTTTTCCGGAGCCGTAGACCGTACCTGTGGTGACAAAAAAGTCGAAGAAACCCTACCTCCGAAAGGTGCTCTTGGTCGGATGTGGCCCCTCCGAATTGGCCTACTTCCGGAAGTGGTGCGGCGTGCTCCGTCGAGATTGGAGTGTTTAACTATTTGGCCTGGGTGACTGTGCTGGCTTTGAGTAGCTCGCTTGATTATTTGTGGAGTACTCGATGTTATGTGGTTTTAGGGGGGTGTGGGCTCGCTCCCGGGCAGGTGCCCGGATGCGAGCCGTAGCCAGTACCCAAGCGTGCGACTTCCTGTCCGGCCGTGGTCCGGGCACTCCGTCCGTCGCTTGCTTTGACCGACCGGGAGCGTGGAGAATGGGCGGTAGACTGGTATGTGGTAAAAACTGACCTGTGGAGGCTATCTCGCGGTTACGTATATGGGTTCTTTGACTTGTTTGCTCGTACGGGGATCTACGATTCGAGGGAGAGAAACCCGTCGTTGAGATTTCACGTCTTACCAAATGTTGCTTATTGCGTAATACTACATATTTTGTAGTAATTTAATGTGTGTTGTTTTTCTGTAATATGTTTGTTTGGCAGCTATGGCACATTTGTTACCTTTGTCTTATTGCAAATTTTACCACAAGTGGCAATATTGGCCAATTTAACGTTATATTTTTTTACTGTTTGTTAAAGTATTAGTTGGAAAATACATAATCTAATATTTTATTCTTGAATTTTTATTAAACTTGAGTGAAGTATTTTATTGGTAAAAAAATAGTCATATTTTGTTCTGTAACATTTGAGGCATTTAACCCTTGTGGTTGGACTAGTTTAACTTTTTTAAGCATTTTTAATATAGTAGAGTCCCAAAAACTCGGCCTAATGTGGACCAAAGGGTGGCCGAGTTTGTGAAAATGCTGGGTTATCGAGAATGGAGTTAAAAAAGAATAAATATGAGTGTTACCTTAGAAAATACTGTACTGTACTTGTATGTATTGTTTGCTTGCGAATACAACAGAGAAGAAACTGCCCAAATACCCTTAAACAAAGGAAAAGTACATACTTTATGAAGGCATAGAGTCTTTACTACATAAAAATGAAAATGAATGAATACACAGTGTACTGTAATTTACCTGATAGGACAGACCTCAGAAAAATACTTTGAGGCATAAAGCTGTCTATAATGAAAATTAACTAGCTGACTTTGCAAAAACTGACTACTTTTTTCAAAGAAATGCGTAATGCCCTGTCGTCTTCCACAATGCACTCTGTATTTTGCTGCTTCGTCACGAAGACGACAAAGGAACAGTAAGTCCATTACCGATGCACCTTGTTGTTCAAAGTACTGAAGGGCGGTTTCGACAGCCTTTAGTCCCTCACTTTAGGAGCTTGTACGGTGGAGTTCTCAACGTCAACCTCTTCATCATTTTCTGGCATTTTTTCATTAACTGTGACAGTAGCAATAATTTCTGCATCGGACATAATGTCTTGCTCGGTATCATTCTGGAACCACTGTTAGACGTCATTTTCATCGGCTTCTGCACATCCAGGAACTCTTTTCATGAGGTCGAGTAAGTTTACATTTTCTGCATCATCATGTTCAACAAACTTATTTCCTTCATGATCAAGGAGTTTCGCCAGGAACAAACTAATGTTAATGACTCTAACTCGTTCCAGGCGTCTGCCATCCAGCCAACAACATCCAATAGGTTAATTTTCTTTAAGTTCTGGATAAGATCTTGACCATCATCGTTTGCAGAAGGGAGGATAACAGCTTGCGCTGAGTTATTCAGACTGCCGGGTTATCGAGTGCCGAGTTTTCACGACTCTACTGTACTTAGTTCTGAAGTGCTTGAACACTGAAATCTATGTTCGATAAATTAGAATATCTAGATAATTTGTCAATAGAGATGCGCTGTGTAATTGTTTCCTAATCATTAATTGTGTTAAGTGGCTCTTCCACCAATTAATTGTTTAATTTTCTAATTGGACTAATTGGTAAATAATTGTTCCATTGGAAACATTATTCCTTTCTAAATTTAAAATTATTAAATTAACATAAAAAAAAATGAATGATATTTTTGAAAGAAATTTTTCATTTTTAAACACATTGTCAATTATTTCGTATTTTTTTTTTTAACTACATTCACTCAGAAAAGAATGTCTGATGTATGGAAGTAATTGTGACATCAATTAATTTATTGATTAATAATGAAAAAATATGATCACCAGATAGTTAGTCATGTCATTGCAACAATTTGCTCAGTACAGACCCATATAGAACTGCCAAGTGTATAATGCATGTTCCTCATTAAAAAAGTTTAAGGAGCATAAGTCAGCCCAGGTTTAAGAAGCTTTAACCATGGCTGTGTTAGGGTGCCATTTTTCAACAATGGCCTGTATTCTAGCTTAAATACACCATAGTTCCTTAATTTCAGCACTAGAAATGCTTTTCTTGGCTCCTGTTCCTCTGAAGAAATTTCCTCTACACTTCTTGCTGCTGATTATGAAGGTACTGAAGTTCTATGGTTAGTTTGGTCTTCTGGTCATCCATTAACTCCTCCACATCCTCATCACTCACCTCTATCTCCATGGACCTGCCCAGACACAGTTTCACTCACCACAGACATTGCTTCAAAGCCTTCAAAATCTTTGGCAGAAATACAATCTGGCCAGAGTTTCTTCTGAGCAGAGTTCATTGTCTTGAGGGAAATTTCCCACTGTACTTTATTGATGATTCTTATGCAATGAAAGATGATGTAATGATTCTTTCAAATTTCTGAGGGTCAGTTTTGTTTCATTGGCTATGTTTAAAGCACTTCTGAAATATAGCCTTGGTGTGCAATTTCTTCAAATTCAGTATGACTTATGAAAGAAATAATTATCTTCTCATGCCAGATTCTTACCAGATAAAATTTAAGAGCACTGTCTATTGGCATTAATAAAATTCTAATGTGTAAAACACAAAAATAAATACAAAATATTTCTCTAAATCTTCCCACAGCTGGTTATATATCAGTAAATAACATGAACAGAACATTTAAAAATATACCAGTAAATACACTTTAATATAAATATGCTATGACAAGTGCTTTTTATCCTAATAGGATTTTTAGGGCATGGTGGACTTGGGGATTTCCATTGCAAGCTCTGACATTTTGTACTATAATGTTTCAGTAGCACATTTGTTAATTTTCACACAAAATTTTATATTAATATGTTGCTCTAAATTTCACTCACCTATTTTTATGCCAAAGAGTACATGCAGATAACTATTACCTTCCTAATAGCTAATTAACAACTAGCTCTATTGGCTTAAAATTTATGCTTATTAGTCTAAACGTTTCAAACATAAATGTGCATGTAATTTCTGCATAATTATGTCATGTGGTGATTTTGGGAATTAAATTTTCACACTTTGTACGTTCCAATTTGGAACATATGTGTTAAATTTAAATGGTACATTATCAAATTATAAATCTAATCAATGGTCAAACTGAAATCGAAAAATATTGGCAGCTAAAATTTAATTTTTAAAATTATTAACATTTTCAAAGTCATTGGGTTTTTTGTGTTTATTTTTCCAAAGCATTCATGGCAAACTTTAGTCATTCAAGGTCATTCTACTTATATTATTTAAAAAATTCACGAAAAATCCAGTTTTATTGTAGACATATGAAAAAATTCACATATATATGTTACCTTCTGTAGTTTATGGCAGTGTGAGGATCGTACACTGATTTGGCTCTAATATAAGGAAAATTTTAAGCATATTTCTCCATTGCAATCGTTAAGAAAACATTGCTCAGAAAATGGATTGAATAACACCTTTTCCATCAACAACTGTTTGAGAATTATAACAATCTTATGCTAAATGATAACAATCTATTGTAAAAGGAAAAAGTCAACCTTCAAACAAGTAAACAGAAGAAATCTTACAAGTCTCGAACCAAATATGGTATTGTCAGCTCCGTGAGAACGACAGTTTCACATCATCACCGGCTCACCTATGACCCAACACCTGCAAAATCAACCTTCATCTCCAACACTCGATTACCTGATGGGTTTTCCCAGGCCTAGACTGGATAAAAAGGAGGCGGGAACTCGAGTTGGGGTGGACTTCATCGAACGCCATACACCAGTGGACATCTTGAGCCACCCTGTTCCCAGCAGATATCCCCAAGATGGACTCCATGACAGAAGGAGAGAACCAAGTCTTTGGTCCTGCCATATTTGTTCTCCCAGGGATCCTTTGCATGATTGATATGCTACGAGCAAACATTGTCCCAAGAGTCAACTGATAGTCTCTCACAGGAAGAGATAGAGGTATGATATTTACCTAACTCTCTGGTTGTAAACTCTCTCTCTCTCCACATAGCTAGACAGGCCTAGTATCCCTAGAGCTCTGTATTTACGCTTAGTAGTTAATCAAACCACTAGCACCTAAATGAGACTAGGGCCCAGAATGCTGCTACCTTAAAAGGCCAAGGGTCTGCTGAGTTAGCAGGTACAAAGAGGGGAATGTATGTGGGTTTACGGTAAATAGTCGTGATTATATTTATATTTGCCTCAAGGGCTTACTCTCATTACTTCAGAGAGACTTCAGACATATACAAAGAACTGAAACACATCAAGCTTATAGCA